CCTCCAAAAGAGCAGCAGAAACTCCAGCAAGGCCACACTACCTATGTACAGTTCTGACACGACAATACTGAATTCCCTCCAGTTATGGCTATATTACTGACTAGTATTCAAGACAACTTGGGATTTTTTCCAAAAGTTTTCTTCTCCATTTTTGGGGTTTTTTACTGCAATGAGGTTGTGCAGTACCAGAAATGTTTTCAGAAGTCATAGTCCTGCAGGAATATGAGCATATAGATAAAACATACAGGTACTCTAATGATGGTTTTCACCAAACAATCTGAAATAGTTAAATCCTTCAAACCCCCTCCTCCTCCCACACCCAAAATCAGAATTACTTCCTTCTTATATTTTTTTTTCTTAAATAAGAAACTGATGGGAAAAATTAGTTTCAAGTTTTACCTTAAGATGGTCGTCTTCCCCCAAGTTTTGACTATGGGTGACTGTGCACTTGAAAATATCTGAACACCACTGTTCTAACAAAATTCTGGGATATATTACTATTATGAAGCTAATCTGTAGTAACTGCTCCTCTGGAATATAATCTCCTTCACAGGGCCTTTCCCAGTCTCCTGGCAGCCAGATTTGGGACTCCAAGCTTGAAACTGTGAGCTTCCATTTTCAAGATGAGAAAATACTGGAATGATAAGAAACTTAAAAGTTAAACCATTTCAGACCTGCTCACACCAGCGTGAGAGATGCTTGTCTAAAATTGTGTGACTTTATCTTTTACAGGTCAGTTAAGCTGGCAAGAGCCATAACAAAAACAAAGCATTTTTTCTACATCAGGCACTTTATCAAAGAGCAGTGAATCCTTGTTCTTAGGGGGGAAAAAAAGGAATCAAAGCAATAGGTCATTGAGCTTTATTCTTCTACTGACTAAATTTATCATGCTAGAATTTGTTCCTGTGAGAGTCACAATCTCCTTAGCCTATTTTTACATTTTGCTTCTCTTTTAGATCCACCTCCTCAATGCAGAGGTTGTTCCACATACCGTTCTCACCAATTCAGTAACATCCTGTTCGTGATGAGAGTTCCTGGTTCCCCACGGCTGGATGTTATGCACGTACATGGCTGATTCAAATATGATACGAAACTATTTCTGTGCAAAAACTAGATCAGTTTATTGCACAATGAGAAGGACTGAGCACAGTCCTCAACAATTCTTACAGCAATTCTGGTTTTCCTCTCCCTATCCTCAAAAGAAATCCAACTACAGATGGATTTCATCGCTCTCATTGGTTTCACTACTGATATCCAATTTTTAAGCAGAAAATTTATACCAGATTTCTCAACACAACCATGGAAGCTCTAGATTTTTGTTGTTGTCTCCATGTGTTTCTTGTAGATATTTTATTTGCTTTTTAGGATCTCTTTTACTACTGGGCACACTCAGTGACTATTTTTAGACTCCTGCAAAATTCTCTAACACCCATACTTTTTGATTCGAGCTTTTCTTTCCTAAAATTTAAGTTACTCAGTAAAGCATATACAAACTGAGGAAGTATTAAATCATTCTACAATTGTGTTCTTCTTTATATTTTCATTTCTCTTTATGATTTGATTATGGGGGTTTAAATGAGTTTTTCAGACACATACAAACTCACCCCAATGGCCTCACTTTCTTACAGTAAAATACAAGATTTAACAAATTCTTTTATATCAGAAATAGTGAAAAGTCTCAAGCCAGACTATTAGAATAAGTCAGGGCCCATCATGGATGCTGCCACATTAAGTGGTCATGGTATAGCAGAGTGCTATGGAAATACACAAGGAGAAAGGGGGCAACCAGAGGCTGAATTCTCTGCCAGGGAAAGCCAGGCAACAGCAAGTTGGGGTCATCAGCCTACTCTTCTGTGGCCTACAGAAAGGGATACCAGTAAACAAGAATTTATAGCAGCACCAAAGGTACAGTGAACACCAACCATTAAAACTTTTTCATTACTGTTTTTAGTAAACACGTTTGCAAAAGCCCTGAAGTAAAGTCCACAAAACCCCAGATCCTCCAACCATAACCAGTGCCTGCTTTCCTGCTGCAAGAAAACAGCAATCCCAGAATGACATAACTAAACACTATGAAGAAGAAAATAGTGCTTAGAGGTTTAATGCAATCTGACAGTTCCTTAAGGTACCATTTAATCAGAGCATTAGAAGGTAATCACCAATTTCTATGTAAGTAAACTATCAATAGACAGCTGCTTACTTGTATTTGAAAAATGTGCTTTCATGGGAGAATGTTTTTCTTGCACACCCGATAATGAAAAATTTAGTTAAACTGAATTATTAAAAAACACTGGATATTGCAAATAGCTTACAATCCAGCCCTTTAACAACAGTGCCTTCATGTGTTTACTATAGGCATTTTATTATTTTAAAGCTAAGGTTCAACTACGTTTTATAGTTGTAATTCTGTCCTCCTACATATCCACAAGCAAATTTGGTCCATTTCAAATTATTTGTAAAGCCTCCTACATAGAAAGGAGTTTGAGATTTTAAAATATACTAAGTTTAAAATAAACAAAGTCAACCTACCAGTGTCATAAACCTTGTGAACTGTCTATTTTTTGTTCTAGCCTAATAAGGCATCCTAGAGTGGCAAGAACCAAATTGTGAGAATGACTGTCCTTGGCTAGAGGTTGTATGCATATCGTATTTCATAACATTTTAATAATGTTTATTATGTAAGTTTCCCTAATTAACTTCTAAACTTACTTCTACATTTGGCATCTGTAACATCCTGTGGCAATGAGTTCCAATATGTAATTATGTGTTCCATGAAAAATCACTTATTTTAAACCTACTGCTGGGTAAGAGCTAGGAGTCATCAAAAACGTGTCACCAGAAATGATGAATAATCATGATCTCCCCATCCTCTCCATAACATCAGCAGCTTCATATACCTCTTGCATTTCTTCTGACCTAATTTCTTTTCAAAGCTGCAGAGTCCTAATCAACCTGTACAGGGATCTCTTTCTCCACACATAACCTGGTTTATCCTTAATAAAAGAAAGGACATCTGCAACTGTTGGTACCATTTCCAATCGGTCATGGATGTCGTCAGGATGTTTGCATAGAACGATAATGCAACTTCAAGCCCTCTTTTTTGAATAGTAACAATTTAGACTGCCATGCATGTTAGTTAGCCAGTTCCCTCCTGCAAGCATTATTGTATAATATTGTATAGTTAATGCACTTGCCATTCTTCCCACAACTGTTCACAGATTTGAAGGATCTTAATATCGTGAATGGTGTATGAGCACAAGCTGATATTTTGTTGTTTAGCTCCTTTCACAGACTTATTAAAGCAGCAAAGATCTTCATATAGATCCCTGTAGGAGTCTACTCTTGGCTTGTGATAACTCATCTTCTATTCTCATTCTTTTTTTTCCTATCTTAAATAATTATCAACTAGAGAGGACTTCTCCCCTACTGTTGTGACTATCTGATTTCTTCAAGAAAGAAACTTTGCCAGAATTTGTGATGGACTAGGATGGTTAATTCATATGGGATATACAGTCCTAACATGACCATGAACTCACATCCAACTAAGCTACAATCTCTCTACAACAATCATGTTGGCTCTTTTTTGTTACTTTTTATTCTACGTGTACATGTTCATCTTCATATTTCTAAATGTATATCTTCCCATTTGACTATGAAGTGTTACTTAATTTTGATAAAGACTGAAATAAAACTTTCTAGGCTGTAGCTTCATGTAAATTAAGCTACATTTCCAAATTCAGTGATTATGTATTCAGATTACTCCAGACCTGTTATTTTTCATTTTAATCAGCTGGATCTCAAAATTCTTCCCCAATACTTGAGTTTGAAACAGACCACCTGAGACATCTTAAGTAACCTCCAGTGAAAACAGCTCCATATATCCTATATAATTAACACAAATGCAAAAAGAATCTTTGTGAGATTTGGTGCTAAATATTTATCTTCTGCTAGTGTTCTCACAATATCTTGATTCCTACTGGGCCTGGAGACTACTAGAGGTCTCTTGTTTGTGATGTGACTGAAAAATTTCTCAAAGTTCTTTCTGTGCCTGTCTTCTGGTTTTCACACATAACTTACCAGTTTCACATCCAAGTGTTTCCTACATTTGGTTACAATCTCTACTTTTTGAAGTCTCTTTACCTGTTAGAGATTTTCCTCCTTTGCAGTTCAATAATACTGAATTTGGGGGTTTTCTTTCTCTCCCTTATGACAGATGGCAGATGTTTAACATTTAATATGGTAGCACTTGACACCAGTAAAAGCCTTATCCTGTTAGCTGTTCCTTTTGACAATTTCCTAAGAAGCATGCTCCCTTAGGCACAGTTCTTTCCATAAGACGTTACAGGAACGTATTTTACACTTCCTCTTAAAACAAAATGGCAAACATATTCACTATGGTTACTCTTGTAGGGCAGCCCAACAGTAATTTCATCTTAAACAAGGTCTTGTGCATTGCATGTTTGTCAAGAGCTACTACTCTTGTGAGCTGACAGCTTACCAGAAAACCCAGTGCATCATCCTTCACTTCCACATTTACTGAGTCTTCATACACATAACAGAACCATGTAATAACAGGAAATGGTTCTTCCCTCAGCATCTTACCTCCTATAGCACTTCACAGGAATGTTCCATCTCATTAACACAGCCAGTGTAACCCTCACCCTCTTTTGCTCTATTTGCACACAAATTCAAACCATAAATGTACTTTCCTGTCTAGACAAACACAGCTTTGACCACAAACCATAACGCAGAAAAATGCATCTCCCAGAGTAGTTTGCATTCTTGTGTCTGCATAAATGTTTGCCCTTATACCAACAACCTCTTGTACCAATTTTCTGCGATGTCAAATATGTCAACATCTGGATTTCCAACCAGAATTCCATCTCTCATGCTCAATTTTTCACATTTCAGATTTTGTCCAGAAGATCATCTGCAACTGCTACTGGTCTAATTGACTAATTCTAATTTTTTATAAAGAGAAGCAAGTAGGAAATACATACATGACGGTGTTAATCCCTGACAGTTGTTGAAACATCTGCAGACCACAACCCACAATTAAGGCTCTTCGAGTTGGAGGGTATGTTAGCATTCTGCAGATCACAGGTCCAGCTTAAAAAAAAACAAGACAACAACAAAAGAATACATAATAGTTCTTAAGTGATCGCTATCAAGACAATGTTGCCAGGCACAGCAGGCTTTGCACCTTGAATTATTTCAATTATTTTTGAACGATTCAGTCATTTCAGTTCTGCTTTTCTGCACTGTACTACAAAGACAATTTTCAGGAAGGCCAAGCAAAAAAATGAAACAATTTTTGTACACAGTGTCTGCTACTGATGTCAAATGTACAGCTCTCCTATATCATACTAACAGATGGCACATCTGCTGCAACTGAATGTACTCAAGAGCTATCTCTGTTGTTTCCTTTCTGAAAGCTTCCACTGTTATTGAGAGGTTGTTTCAGAAATGCCATTACTCACTGCTAAGATCTGGATTTTGGAGATGAAGTGTTCTCCCTAGTCCCTCAAAGACCCAATTTCCACAAACCAGTTGCAAGTGTGGGTATTTGAAAGTATAGGATAGATCTATTCTCCACAGCTCTAGAGGCCTGCAGAGGGAGCAGAAATTACATTTTTTCCATACCTTTGGTAGCAATGGTATGAGGCTGCATTCAAAATGCAGAAAACAGTTTCTTAATGAAGAAAAAAACCCCAAATTTCTGGCTAACAAAGTTTTATTCTCTATTTAAAACTTTCAAAGTATCCTAGGGGAGAAAAAAAGTAGTACAGAAAGCTATGAAAGAATAGGAAAAAATTTAAAATCCCCAACTCTAGTATTTACATTAATTTCTTTCTGCACAGAGTAGTGCTTTTTCACCTGATGAAATATTTTATGTCTTACACATCTTATCACATCTGGCATACCCACTCAGAATATCTAATCACAATATGAATAGGCCAAAATTGCTGCCATCCAAAAAAAAAGGGAGGTGGAAAAGGATCTACGATTTTACATTTTCAAAGTCTTTCCTAAAACTACAGAAAATATTAAAAGTATTGGTTCTGTAAAAAACCCTACATGGGTTTGTTAGTGAAGAATCTACATGCAGAGTTCCAGCTTCAGAAAGCTGACAAGCTTTGAACAGTTTCAAGAGTGGGACTCAAGCAAGGGGTTTAGATAATACTTTCTTCATTGAAAGATAATCAGACCTGCCTAAGAAAGATAATCAGACCTGCCTAAGAAAGATTTATTTTCATTTAAAATGATGGTATTTATAATTCATATCTCAATTGTATCATCATTTAACTTTGCTTCCTTAATATTAATAGCAGAATACAGTCTTATGTATTTTCTAGTTGGTTTACAAGTAACATTAATATTTGGACAGTACACAGTCCCACATGTCCTGCCATTTAGCCACACCATTACCTCAAAATGTCTTCAAGTAAAATCAAGTGACAGATAAATCTGGTGACAGATAAATAGAGTCAATCTACAGATCTCATAAGATATTCTCAAGCAAGACACATGACATCACTGGGCCGACAACTACATCAAAGGGTTCCATAGTCAAAGTGGCATTTCCTCGGTGGAAAAACCACAAAGCTGGTACTCACTGCTAGCTAGGAGCAGTCCAGAGATCAGACATACTCTGGGATTTCTCCTCAACTCCAAGCTTCACAAAGAAAAAAGATTTACTAACAAATGTACCTATGAACTTTAATTCACCAGTGACAGCTCTCAGGCTCTCATATTTGGCATCACACCTGAGCATGGAGGCTTTGGGCTTAAAAACCTTATCTGGCAACTGATTCTGCAGCATCTATTCTAAATCCAGGCTGTTGAGATCTTCTGTTCTTCATAAACTTCCTGTAAGGGCCTTAACTGAGTTCAAAATCTATCTTTATCCTCAAGGGACCTTTCAGCCAACCTACATCTTACAGTCCATCATCAATGGTCATGCTCATTGAATAAGCTGGAACTCTACAGCAGGGGTTGTCAGGAGAGTAGGCAGAAATGTCCTAAGGAACTGATGCAACTGATGTCCTGATCCGCTCATCTATTTTATGGAAGTTATATAAAATTCTGTTCACAATGACTCATTGTACAAAACAATTGGAAAGGAGACACTAAAATGAATAGCTAGAAATTAAAGCAGCTGTTCTCAGACAATGGTTTGCAACTCAGAGGGAGTCATGAAGTCTCAACAAAACTCCATTGCACAAATCAGTTTGTGCGCTTGAAGTGGGGCCCTGCAGAAATTTTGCAATAGAGCACATGCACTAAAGTTTGGACCTTTACCTTAGAATTTCACACTTTAAACATTTAGAACATTCAGTCAGCTAAGTTCAATAAGCACTTGGAATTTTTCAGACTTCTGATTAATTGTATCACAAAAATGATGATAAAAATTATCATACTCACTCAAGTCAGCGTTTAAAAAGATTCACTCCAAATCTGTACCATGGCAACTGCCACATATAAATAGGCATACACAAAATTAAAGGATTTTCTTTCATAAAATTCACAGCCTTCAGGTTTACAAACCAATAAATGGAATGAAAGAAATAAAAGAAACTGCTAATCTCTATATTAAAGGAGCATTACCAACTCAATGAAAAAGCCCAAAGGACTCTGACTGTGAGGTGAGTGGTTTTTAAAACAGAAAATGAGTGTGAAACTTCTTATTAAAATTATCTATCTCTGAAATTAACTATATTGTATTTGCATTTTCCTGTCATTAATCCTTCCATCCATATTGTTGAGTTCATATGTTACAATCTTCTTAAAAATAAACACCTCTAGGCAGAACATGGGTTTTAACTACAGAGAATGGGTCTAAAGTAAAAAATGAAAAACAAACCAAGTTTTCAGAATTAAATAAATTTTTCTTCTGAAAATCAGTCTTCTGAAAACCAAAACTGTACTTCAGTAGTTTCTGATAACCCTTAAATATGCCATTAGTTATGACAATACATTAAAATGGCACAAAACAATAAAATCATTGTCTTTAAAAAATGGAGCAACTTAGCTGCTCATAGAACTAGAGGACACAGACGATTTAAACATAAATCACAGGAAAAAAATTAAATATCTGGCAATTTTTACAAAGGAAAAAATAGATATTTGTCTCCAAAAAGTCCGATTTTTCTGGTTTGTGATACTTCTGTCTTAATTGCTGTTGGTTTTTTTCCAGCTAGATTTAGACACATTCCTGCATCGGAACCACTTCATTTAACTTGAAAAAGCACCAAGATGTTTGTTTTCCTTCTTCTAATCTATGAATAAAAATTAAGTCAGAAGGATGAGACCTCCTAATGCCATGATTAATTCAATGAGACTAGATTTGGTTGGATTTTTTGTGCTGTGGTTTCAGATAACTCCTTTATCTGAAGTAAATTTCTTTAACACATAATTTTTACAAAAGTTCAAAACACGCTACAGCTTGCTCTAATGAGAGTCCAAAATGGCAGCATGAGATAAAGAGTAATGGAAAAACAAGCATACTGCTGCTGTAGAAGGTGACATTGCTTGAAGTGGTGATACTTGAAGTGGATTGCTGTGATCCAAGTGGATATTCCATAGCTTGATCCAAACTGTCTACCAAACTAGACATTCATCCTTATAAGCAAAAGGCAAAATATAGGATTTGGAAGTTTAGCTTCACATCCAAAAAAAACCTTATTAGATTACACTGAGCTAAACAGGGGAGGAGAAGCTGTTCTTGTCAAACCATTACTTCTGAAAGTGAGTGATGCTTTCCAAATATTACAATTTAATGCCAGTTTCCTATATTTTAGCTGTTATCCTTGTTATTAGGCATAACCCACAAATTAGGTTTGGACATTTCGAATCTCCTGGCAAAGGCACTTTGATTTTCCTCTGCCGATAAAATGAAGTGTATGGCAATCATAGGAGCTTGGGTGCGATCTACTGCCAACTAAAAGACAGAGATAATTTTCAAAGGCAACACAACAAAAGCTCTAGTTCTAAAAGGAGTTTATATAATGAAAGCAGAAGAATGGGTATTAATGACATCTTAGCATCTCCGTGTGAAAATGTACTGCATTCTTTTCCAGGGGAATAAAAATATTGTAGGATAAAATCCCACAGCAAATGCAGGCAGACATCTGGTGCTTGGAAATCTTGTGATTCCCCATCCCACAAATTATTAGAAGAATACCTAGCAAAATTTCACAGCCAGGAAACTATGGTTAGACACTGGGCTCTGCCAAAGTCATTTGCAGGTTCAAACATTTATTTGCCAGCTAATCTAGGTAACAGCTTGTAGCAACAGCCTAAAACTATGTAGGGATCCTGCCAGCATTTCGTGCTCTTGCTGTAGAGGGTTGTTTCCAAAAAAGCAGGCTTAGCCAAGCAACAAGACAGTCACTCATCAGTTTAGCATCAATTAAACTCAAGATTCAGACTTGTTTTCTGGACCTTTTCTTGTTCTAACATCAGTCAATACCCTCTCTTCCACCTAGATAAATCTTCAAGGAATTGATCTACAGTTAAAAATAAGGGACCAAAGAAAAGAAAGTTCGGTTTGCAATCTCAGTAACAGAGGACAAACATGGGAACCATTTCTGTTTTAACTTTCCTTACAAAATGACAGCTTTCTCTGCATCATCTGCAGAATCTTACTTCACCAAAGATTCCTCTTCTAAAGCACCTAGATATAGCTATTATTTTCTATGTATGAATGATATACTAAAGTAAAAACCCTTTTCTTCTCCTTGTCTATTACATGATTATTTTCTGAAAGTATCAACTTCATTCATTTTTCCTTTCTGTAAAATTTAACAAATCAAAAGGTAACTAGCTTTAAGATCAAAACTGCATTAACTATGCTGAAAAGATGCAAAATAATTTTACTTAAGTACCATGTTCTTTCCCACTGTCTTATATTGTTCCCAGTAATGTTGGAAGAACCACTCCCAGCATTAGAAGAAACTTCCTCCCTCATATAGTTCACTAATCCTTTGAGAAAGCTTGTTTGAGGTTTTTCAACTTTCTTCTTTACAGCGTGGTTCCCTATCAGCCAAGAAGGAGAAAAGATCATCAGCTTGCCTAATCATGAGTCTTAGTATTTTTCAGCTTTCCAC